GTAAGTATATATAATAAGTAGTATATATATATATATATATATATATATATATATATATATTATGACATTGATAAAAAATAAAGCAATAAAATAAAAATAAATCATATAATGTATTATTTTATCGATCAATTTTAATATAAACTTACTAGTATTTATTATATACATATATCATTATCCCAGATAATTAATAAACAATTTTTTGGTACAGAGGTAAACAAACCAAACTTTAAACTAACACTATAGAGAACGGCGTAAATGGCACTTGCAGTGGTTGCGGCGAACCACAGCATACTAACTAACAAGTTGGATGAGTGAATGAAGAATAGCAAGTAATACATGGGAGAGAGTAAGCAGAGAGGCGACAGAAGTAACTTTCATACCTGTTTATCGGGATTCCCTGACATACGCGTTCCTCCTCGATCTGGGGATTCCAGAGTGTAGATTTAATCATCGATTCATCTAATCACGTGTACGGATATGCTGCATTCATAAATAATCTAAATACACATATAGCATCTATTTAATGATTATCTAAATCAAATAAAAAGAAAGAACAATTTTTTTATCTTCATAATAATCTAATAAATTTAATTAATTTAAATGATTAATTATAAATTTAATTAATTTAAAAATTAATTATTTAAAGTATTAATATAACTGAATTTAATTAAAAAACAGTATAATTTTGTTCTTTTTAAATAATAAATAACGAAACTTTAAACTTGTTTAATTTAAGAAATTTTTTGAAAAATAATTTATATATGTAAGAATAAAGTAATAAATTTGGAATTATAGAAGATTTCTTTACAATGATGTCTAAATTATTATTTATAATAGAAATTTTTTGGCAATTCAGATTAAAAGATTTGTACGTGGCGATGCTGCTTTGCTAATAGTTAACTCAAATTATCTTTTTTTCACATAGATGTAGCTATGTATGATCTGTAATTCTGTTAATTAAGATAAGCATGAATCGTTAATACGTAGAAAATATCATATATATTTTGTGACATCATTTATACTTTGTATGTTGTACAATGGAAATTTTGTACAATGAAAAAGAAAAGAATAACTTTATTAATTTTATTTTTTATTTTATAAGTGTTGATATATTTTATTGATTTTTATAATATATTTTATATATTTTATAATAATATGAATTTTTATAATAATAACAATAATAATATATTTATATTTATTTATATATATTTATATATATAGATAATATTGTTAAAATTTTCACAAATTTATAATATATGATATAGTTCAAAGTTTTTAATTATTTACTATTTCAAATTTTCAAATTTTGTAAATGTAAATATATATGTGTATGTTTTAATTATTGTTAATGTATTTATAGAAAGATACAATCGAACAAAAAATGATTTTACGTGAAAAAAATAATACACATCAAATATATAAAATAAAATTTGTTTATTTGAGATTTTGTTTTTGGTTAAAACAGTTTAAAAAATATAATTAAAATAAACTATTTCTCAATTAGAATGAAAGAATTATTGTAGTATACAATTCTACATATAAAAATTAGAAAAAAAAAAAAGAAAAAATAGAATAAATTTTTTTTCATATAAAAACTAGTTTTTCAGAAAATTAAATTTAAAAAAAGAAATTCGCTAATCATATGATTCGAAAACAAATATAAAAAATTTAAACAAATTTAAAAAAATTAAAAATTTTATTCTATCTTATTTTTTGCTTATTTTCATTTGTTATCCATTCATATCTAATTAGAAAATAGCCAATTTTAATTATATTTGAAAATTTTTTGATTTTTTATTTTATACATACATACTATAATATATACAATACATGCCTAAAATATACAAATTAAATGCTAATCATTAAAAATAGAAAATAGATACGTAAATATTGTATACAAAAAATTTAATCAAACTCTTAAAAGTTTTATTTATAACTTAAATATTTAAAATTATTATTTACAAACTCTTAATAAATATAAATTTTTATTTATGAACTTTTAATATATTCTAATTTCATTAATCTTTTTAATTTTTCAGCAAATATATTATGGTATTTCTATGTTAATTTTTTTTAATTCTTATGTTAGAGATAAAAATATAAAAATAAAAAATATAAAAATGAAAAATATAAAAGTGTAATACAAAAGTATGCGGCATTTTTTTATTCATAGAAAAAAATTTCCATTTGAAACTAATCATAATAATAAGAGATTAAAGAAAATTATGCATTATTCACAATTACAAGATCATTTGAAAATTATTGGTAATGAGAGGAATTCATTTATTTGAATTATTTCTTGTGCATATAATCAATTATTAATCTGTAATCGATGTTGAAAAGCAAACGATGTATTTTAACATCGTCACTAATGCACCTTGCACAAATACTTAAGAATTTTCTTTCTAGAGGTCACTGCACAAGGAAGTGAACGGAAACTTGGTCTTCCATTGAAACTTGATAGAAACTGTATTTGAAAAGAGGACAGAGAAAGCGCATGGCTGTAATATTACTTGATCATATTATAAATTGTACCGATTTAATTTTTTTATTATATTCGGACTTATAATAATTTGCTTTTAGAATATCATAAATTTATTGTAAATTTTTCATTCTGAATTTAAATCATATTTCTTGGTTTTCTTTTTTAAAATTTTATTTTAGAATATATGAATGAATTTTTTACTAGATTTTAGATAATAGATTTCTATTGATAATTGCCAACAGATAAAAAAAATATATATAAAAATAATAATTTTTATTATGAAATTTCATGGCGAAATGTTTTATGTTTTTATATCTTAGCTAATTTGACCATCTTGAATAACTATTAAATGATACATTTTATGAATATATATTATATAGAATTATAAATAATGTATATTATATAGAATTATAAATAAGATATAGAATTTAAATGGCTTTAAACAATATATCTCATAAAGTACATATTTTTTTGTGAATGAAAATTTTGATGATTTCAAGATCACTTTGATTTTTTTACATGAAATGATTTATTTTTTTCTATCAAATTAATATCAAATTCTGAAAAATATATAGATTTATATTTAATAATTAACTTAAAGTATTCATTAGTTAACTCAATAGTTAACTTCTAAATTTAATAATTAACGAGATATTAATAAAATAATTTTTAACATGTAATTATTATTTGGAAATTAAAGTAGATGCTTAAATATTCCTTAAATTCAATATAACATAATTATGTGTTTTGTTAAAATTATTTTGATTTTATCAAAAAATTTTGCAATAAATAGACAAAAATTTTTCCTATAAAATTTATGGATGAGACGATGAAATATAAATGTCTAGCAAGATATATTCGATGATAAGATAATTGGATTGTATTTCATTGATGAAGATTTGAACGAAAATACTCAATATATAAATCATTTCAAAATATTTCTTTTTTTAGAATATTATCAAATTGGTTATAAGATATATCATATCCATTTATCAATATGGTTTCATTTTATACATTATGTAAAAGAAGCATTGCAGAAACAATTTTTTAATCGATGGATTGATCAATGAAGAATTTCCATAATTACTATATTTACTTTGATAGATTTTTTCGTGTAGACAATTGAAAAATATTATTTTAATCCATATATTTTAATGACATTTTATACATTTTATACATTATGTAAAAGAAGCATTGCAGAATCAATTTTTTTAATCGATGGATTGATCAATGAAGAATTTCCATAATTACTATATTTAGTCTGATAGATTTTTTTCGTGTAGACAATTGAAAAATATTATTTTAATCCATATATTTTAATGACACAAGCAAATATCAAATAAATAATTTAAGAAAGTATACTTATTGCACAAATAATTAAAAATAATATTCTTTCATTAAAAAATTTTAATCAAGAAAATTATATCGTTACATTGAAATTAAAGAACATCAATTCAAACATTTATTTTAGTTTCCAGATAGTAAGTTTTTATTAAAAATTAGTTTGTTAATATCTTGTTAATTATTAGTTAATTAATACATTTTATTTCAGAATTTGATACTCTATTAACTATCAATACAAAAAAATAAGTCATTCCATTTAAAAAAATCAAAGTGACTTTGATTAAAATTTTTGAAACATCTCTATTTACAAAAAAGCAGGCATCTTGAGATGTATTTTTCGAAATTTTTGCTCTTTTAAATTCTATGTTTTATAATTTTTTAAAGTATGTTCTTTAGTAATTATTCGAGATAATCAAATTAGTTGAAATAAATTAGCCTATCTAATAGAATCTCGATTAACTAATTATTATCAAAAAATCGATAACAAAAATTAATATGATTGAAATTATGATTGTATTTCATATGAAATATGATGAATTTATAACATATTATTATATATGTATGTATAATTTTTTTTTAGTACTAATCTGATTACAATTTTTGTTTAAAGTTAATTCTCTAGCATTATTTTCTTTTTATATTTCATTTCTTGTTCTTATTTTTATTATATATATATTATTATATATATATTATTATAAATATTTTTAAATGTATAAAAATACATTTTATGTTTATTCAAATCATATTTTAGCTTATCTTTAATTTTTACAATATTTATAATATTTATATAATTTATAATTATATTTATATAATTTATTTACATGTTCAGGTTTAATGCTTTAATATTATTCAAGTATAATGTAAAATATGCAAAATGTAATATAAAAATTTTAATACAAAATAACTTTCTGAAATTTAACAGGTTAGATTAATGTATGATAACTTAATGCTAGAAAATATAGCATTAATCTTTTTAATAATTTTTTTTTATTCAAAAAGACATTATAACTTATAATAATAATATTATAGAAAATATTACTAAAAAATTGATTATCATATTATTATTAATATAAAAATATTATAATTATAATAATTATATACTTAGAAAATTTGTAACCTAAAGTTTATAAAACTTTTGAAAAATAAGAAATATTCAAAATAATACACTATTTATACTTTTCTTCATCTTTCATGTGATAAATTTTATAAATTTTAAAATAAAGTATCTTCTAAACTAAAGATTTTTTGACATAAATATCTTAGTACTTTTTTGAAAAAATAACAAACTATATCAATTAATACAATAAAAATTACATAGTTATATTTAAAAAATTAATTGAATTTCATATGAATTTTATATGTGTCAATCTATCTTGATAGATTGATAAAAATCTTTGGTACTATATTGAATTCTATTTATATAAACATGATTTTGTTATAAAAATCATTTATAAATATCGAATAGCCAATTTCAATATTTATAGCATATCTCATGTAAACTTATTGTGTTTTTGCTTT